TGTCCTGGGTTATTTAATAGGGATTGCATTAAATCTGTAGATTGCCTTGGGCCATGTGACCATTTAACAATATTGATTCTTCCAATCCACAATTTTCTCTTTTTTTAATTCATTCATTTATTCATCCTAAAAATATAGACCCTGGAGTGAAATGGAGATTAGAAACAAACGAGGCCCCTGTCTTCATGAAGTTTATAGTCTGGAGAAGAAGTCAGACACTAAAGGATGGACATGCAATTACACGAAGTAAAGGGGGCAGATGCTGAAGCATCTAATGCATATTGAGATGTCAGGAAAAACTTTCTGCAGAGTAATGCTGAGTGGAGATCTGAAAGATTAGTTTAAGTTTAGAATGAGGCAAGGGGAGCATTCCAGATGGAGAAAACAGCATGCTCCTTTGGGGAAGAGAGCGTAGTCCATTTGAAGAATGAAGGGAAGGCCAATACGGCCCAAAGCCAGAGAGTAAGGTATGGGGTGAACTGGAGAGGCGGTGCTCTTCACCAATGCAGGGACCCTGGAAGATAAACAGGTTTGGACTGGATGGAAGATCAAGAATTTGACCTGGGCACTGGGGGCCCGGCTTTCGGCCGCGGCTGCTCTCCCAAGGTGGCGGCTCCTCCGGGCGAGTACTTCAGCGTTGGGAGCCAGGTGTCGTGCTGGACGTGCCAGGAGCAGAGGCTGCAGGGCGAGGTGGTAGCCTTCGACTACCAGTCCAAAATGCTGGCTTTAAAATGTCCCTCTTCCAGTGGAAAGCCCAACCACGCAGACATCTTGCTCATAAACTTACAGTATGTTTCAGAAGTGGAAATAATTAATGACCGAACAGAAACCCCTCCTCCCCTAGCTTCACTCAATGTTAGTAAGCTTGCCAGCAAAGCACGGACAGAGAAGGAGGAGAAGCTGAGCCAGGCCTATGCAATCAGCGCTGGTGTCTCCCTAGAGGGCCAGCAGCTCTTCCAGACCATACACAAGACCATTAAAGACTGTAAATGGCAAGAAAAAAACATCGTAGTCATGGAAGAAGTTGTTATTACACCCCCATATCAAGTGGAAAACTGTAAAGGCAAAGAGGGGAGTGCACTGAGCCATGTACGCAAAATA